ACAGAGACATTTTAACATAATGGTTAAACATGATTAGAACCAACAATATACATGTATATGTACATGTACATATATGTAGTCAGTTGGTTGCCCTTGTACCGTTATGGCCCGGGGGGGGGGGGGGGGTATGCACGACTTACTGATCAATCAGGCACCTGTACGTACATGTATGTATTGTACATGTAGTTTCCGGGTTACAGATTTCATCATACAGGTACATGTATTACTACATGCAACCGCTATAGCTGGAAGATTTGGAAGCAAGCCCTTTGCAGCTTACAATGTATGCCTGCATAAGAAACTGCTATAGGATCCAGCTCTCTGTTAAGTCATCCTTTTGATTACAATAACCAAATTGAACCTGATTTACGGGCACTATTTGACATTAACTGGACAAAATAGAGTTCATCTTGGTCACACTACTAACTGCAGTAGCTGGTGAGCATGGAATGGGTCGGGTAACAATGCTTAGCCCCCAAAAGATATTCCAGGGCCTTGGAACTATTGCATACATGTATGTATAACCCGAAAGAAATCTAAGGTATAAAAGCCCGTCTTCCAGCAGTTAATTCATCTCTTCACCTCCACCTCTTCACCCTCTCAATCATCTCAGTCAACATCAAACAATTGACTTTCATAATGGTTCATTCAAGCTCCATCTTTTTGGCTCTTGCCTCCTCTGTCCTCGTCACTGCACGTGTTTGCACCGATATAGACGTCCCCCTCCAGGTCACCACTGAAAACGCGCTGTTTCAATTTCCTACGCTCAAGACAAATGAGCAGGCTGCCGATCTTCAATTCAATTTCGCGCTTCGTGATCAGGAAGCTGTACAACCGTCTGGCTATGAAACAGTCTCTGGAAATTACACTATAAATGCCCGTTTTTGTACTCCCGATACCCCCGTTGCCAATTCCAAGACTATCCAAGTTCTTACCCATGGAGTTGGCTTTGACAAGAAGTATTAACCCCACTACTCCTCATTATTCTATCATCCATCTGTTCACCCTCCTCCTCATTATCACCCCCCTTCATTATTGCCGGTTATCACTTTCTTCTAGATCTACCGCTTACATATTCTAGTTACTGGGACCCGGAAGTCTCTAGGAGCAACTATTCTTATGTCGACACTGCACTTGAAGCTGGATACTCCGTCTTCTTTTATGACCGTTTGGGTAATGGCAAATCATCCAAGCCAAACCCGAACACCAGGGTCCAGTCGTTTGTCGAACTAGAAATCCTGACACAGCTCACCACCTTGATCCGTGAGGGCAGCATCGGCATCGGCTACACTCCGGAGAAAGTCATCCATGTGGGCCACTCGTATGGCTCTGTCTTGTCGAACCGCCTGGCAGTCGACACCCCCGAGTTGTCTGACGGCCTCATCCTCACCGGATACGGGCACAACAGCACTTGGCTTCAGGGCTCCCTCGTTCCATGGGGTTTTCAGATTGCGAGGCTGCAGGACCCCGTGAGATTTGCAAACTTTGAAAGTGAGTACCTCACCTGGGCAACCAAATGGTCGAATCAATTCTTCTTCCTAAAGTACCCATTCTTCTCGACCGAGGCTTTAGACTATGCGGAGGAGGGTAAGGGGCCTGTTGGACTCGGAACACTATGGACTATCAACTCTGGCGATTTTGTGGCCTCTCGATTTGAGGGGCCGGTTTTGGTATGTTGATGCTTATTTTCATCTAGGTATGCGAGTAGAGTATCTACCTATACTAACTTGGCTGTTGCTTAGATCATCACTGGTCAATATGACCTTCCCTTCTGTGGTGGAAACTGCACTGGGGTCTTGCAATCGAGTGAGGCGTACTTTCCAAACTCGACGGCGTTGAATATTGTGATCCACCCAGATGCTGGACATGGTATCAATTTGCATTTCAGCGCAAAGGATGCATATAAAACTATACTTGACTTCTTGGAGGAAAACTTGTAGTCTGTTAATGGCATTATTGTATCTTTCAGAGTAGTCTAATATCCCTACATAAACCGTCGAATAGAGATGTTTTATAGCTACACATGATAGAACAGAGTGGGGCAAGAATCAGTAGACACACACGTAGGTTACAGATGAAAGAGAAGAGTAGAGGTAGATTGATACGTCTTTTGTATAGCTAGATTTTAGTGGGAGTAGGTCATATCAGTGAGTCTCAAATCAAAGAGAGTTGCCAAGGCGTGTGTATTGTCAGTCATTCCCTTGACCTATGTAACATATACCTAACCCTATTGCCAAGTTCAAAATGCATAATGAAGGGTGTAGGAGCCCGTATTCCCATATATGAGAGGCATTCAGCAGGGTGTTAATTCGGGAAATAGTACCGTGGTGAGGATCTAGGGTTTATCACGCGGTAACGGCTTTCCCAACTTGTATTATTGACCAAAACCAAGCCAAAGGCTAAGCTCTTAGCCCGGCCTCATCCCCTGCGCACGGTCAAGTTAGATCCGGACCGATAATCTTTTCCTAAACCGCATACGATGCCAGTACAGCTAGTAGGGCTGAGCGACCCACACCTCGAAGCACATCTAGGACAGAGAAGCATTAACGGGACTACAAAGTACATAACCTACCAGCCCATACGTACAGTTTGACTGATTACATAGATTAGGTACATATGTATGTAGTCCCCATGATTACTTTAGTCCAAGTTTTTCCCCAGCTCGCTTGGCGATAGATACCTACATGTAGTATATGAAGCCAGCGCTGGGTAACGGTCGGGGCTGGAGGCTGAAATCTGATTTAATCCTAGCTAGCTAGCCCGGCTTCCATCCCCAACGGCAGGGTATTCTTGGTTCTACAGTGAGATGACGTCTGCTATATAGCTACATGTATGTCGGTCTGGTGGAGTATCCCGCAGATTTTACTTTGTAATTGGGTATTTATAGCTAAGGCTACCTTGTGCCTACGTCTATAATAGAAGAGCGGCTCAAACCAAAAAACTTGACTTATAGGAAGCTCAGGTTGTTTATATACATAGTTTAGGTGAATTAAGGGCTTGTTCTGTTCGTCTTGCGAATCGGTCTTATAGCGTCGATCCGGTTAGCGTGCAGACATCATAAGATCAAGACCTCTATTGGTTACATGTACTTTAGAACCTTCCTCCGTATGTACGGTACGCGTACGATCAGTCTCATGGCCACTACTCGTATTTTCCTGACGTTTGTAAAAGCAACCGCTATTGCATACCATATAAATACGCGCCAAGTCTACAATTTAGTATGGTATGCAATACCGGTCATTTTCACAAACGTCACGAAAATACGAGTACATGTATGTAAGTACATGTAGTTTAGGATAGCCCCGTCTAAGAAGGGATCGTCCAGTCACAGTGCATCACTCGATTTCCTTGGCATCCATAACTTTCTCTAAATTTTGAGTATAATCTTACGCAAATCTTCTAGATACCAGGCTAGCATCCTTTCTCGTAATACAACATTACCTACCGCCCACGTGCGGTACGCGTTAGAGCGCTGGCAATTAACAAGACCCGTAGACTAAGTACAAATCTCGGGCACTCGCATGGGCAGCGACTGCAAGCCTGACATGTCTTCTCGCCCAACTACCATCTATCTCCTCTACCCCCATCTTTTCTGTCTACCCTAATATCTGAAGTTACGATTTTCTGGTTCTCAAACTGTCACTGTCATCATCTTCGCCTGGCCTGAACCCGAACCCGCATCTTACATAACGTATACGCGCAGCCAGTGCCACCGACCTGTGCTCATCGGCACCCATATATACGTCTACTAGCATTAGCAGTACCTAGAGGTAGACATGAAATATCCCCTATACTGGCCCTTAAACCCCGCTAACTAAACTGCTACATATATGTTAGGTTGTTCTTACTTCTCCGACCGGCCTTCTAGCAAGATCGGCTCGCCTATTTATCAAGATGGGTAACTGGGGGGTATATAGTAGAGAGATGTCCCGGAAACACCGCACCGGGAGCCTGTACGGCGTTACTCACGTGAACCATGTGAAAACCTCTCCAGTGACGGTTAGAAGCACGTTCTTCCAGCGTTTTCGAGAGCGCTCAAAGACCGGGCACAGATGACTGCTAGGTAGCTAGCCGTACGCACACGGCAGACGGGCCCGATACCACGGACGGGCGAACAAAGACGCGTACTTCGAACCTTGCGGGCGAATGTACGTAATCGGCAGCGGTATTTCAAGAGAAACTTTCTCCATCCGCACTCGGTCCAGCGTGGTATGACTGTTTTTGAAAGACGGACCCCAGATAACAAGTGACCTCCTGCACCATTCTTACTCGGACGGGGAGTGGGAGGTTTTTTTTCTTTTCTCTTTGCTGCATCACAATATAAGTTTGCGCACAAACGGATTCCTGGGATGGTACAATACATACATAGGCTTGCCTCGCCGTCTCCTAAGTCTCCGACAGCTGGATGATGCCCTTAGTCGTGTCTAAACGCTGCAATAGCAAGCTCCCTGAGCACCTTGTGTGAGGCAACTCAGGGCCCCTCTTCATGCTTAGAACTGTAATAGCCAGCAAGACAAGGGAATAATAGAACTACCGCCAGCCCCTTCAGGACCGAGACTAGGATCTAGAATTAGCAACCGAGACTTGCAGCAAGGCTGGGGCCGATAAATACATGTATGGACTCTTAGGTAGTATCTCTGCACTAGATGTTCGAAGGACAAATATGATCCATATACTGCTGCGCACTATATTGCTGCTGTAGGATATGGCTATCAAGTGATAAATGAGTACATGTGGCTATACACGGACGGACACGGGTCAATTCAGTCTTCCGTAAAGGGCACGGGCTAATGGCCTATTTACTACATGTAGTGATCGTTATATAAAACTCTCCAAGGTGCACAATAGTTCAAGTGAAGTGCATTCTTAGCGTGACATTATCGCGTCACATGCAAGCATGTTCGTTTCCGTGATACACAACAAACAAGTTCACAGACGCCTCCAGAAAAACGAGCTTGGGCTCAAGGAGAAGAGAAGAAGCAAAAGGAAAGCTTCCATGAAGCCCCACGCGGGGGTCGAACCCGCAACCTTGAGATTCCGCTTAAGAGTCTCACGCTCTACCGATTGAGCTAGCGAGGCATGGATATAAATCTCCTGCCGTCTTTCTTAATCTGTAAAAAAAGCCAGTCCACTATACTACTTGTACCTACTGCATATAGGTACCAGTACTATTTGTACTTCCGTCGAGAAATTATTAGCAGCAGCAGTGGGGCTTAATAGCGCCCGTCAAAGGGATGCTGGGTAAAGGAAAGTGATTTCTCGTTTAGCTTGAATTTAAGGTTTAGTAAATATTGAACCCAGCAATACTTTATGCAGTCGGTTTAATCACCCGCATGAACCTTCTCTGATGTGTATATGTAGAGTACTGAATCTAGATCTACATGCTCTACATCCCAGAGTAAAGAATCAAACGATCTAAATACAATACTTCAGGGAATCACTGATACCTATCGCGCCGCTCTAGTATGGCATGAGTGATAGCTCACGTCTTATGCAATTTGTTCCCATATACAAACTAATAGGCTGTGGGCTAGGTTGAGACTTCATCACTCGCTGACGTTAGTTTGAATGACAACATGTCACGTCCCAATCACCAGAGCCGCGACTGCGGGGCTGAACAACAACACCTCATGCATGACCAGGCGCCCTCTTGCTCATCGCATGTCTTTACGCATTCCACATTGTTCACGGCATCAAGTTTCAGTGCCATTCATAGAGCCCAGAGGAGGTACTTATCCTTCTCTATGATGCTACTCTACAAGGCCCCATAGAAGCGATAGAACTGACGTCTCTGAGTACTATTCAAGAATCTCAGCTCTTACATAGCACGACCGAACAAATGCCTCTTTTCAAGCTCCCCAACGAACTGTTGATCTCCATCGCCGAGTACCTAGACGTATCCGGCATAAATAATCTCTCCCGAACAAATCGTCGCCTATGCATTCTCTTGACATCATTACTACATGATAGAATGAACCACGACTACGTTCTCTTGTGGGCAGCAAAGCACCAGCGAAAAGCACTACTGGAGATTGCGCTTGAAAAAGGCGCAGACATCGAGGCTGCAGACGATTCGGGCCGGAATGCTCTCAGCTGGGCAGCAGCTTCCGGTTACAATGATATTATGTTTTATCTACTTGATTGGGGAGCCGATATTGAGAGCAAGGATTCTTTAACAATGACCGCCCTTCACAGAGCGGCAATTCATGGCTCTGAACGGACAGTTACGATTCTCCTAGAACGAGGCGCCAATGTTGCTGCGTGCACCAGCGTTGATGACACCGCGCTGCATTGGGCGTCGTTCCACGGCCATCTAGGAGTAGCGAGAATTCTTCTTGACGCAGGAGCTCCTGTTGATGCGAAGGGAGGCCAGCTCAAATACACACCCTTGATTAGCGCAGCATACACCGGCTGGGACGAAGTTGTGAAGCTTCTTCTGGACTATAAAGCTGAAATCTCTGCGCACACAAACCAAAACGATACGGCTCTGCATTATGCGGTGGCTGCGAATTCAACTTCCATTGCAAACATACTACTAGATCGAGGTGCTTCTATCGAGAGTCCGGGATCGAATCAGATTACCCCCCTTGGTGTAGCTGCGCACAGAGGGCATCTTGAGGTTGCGAAAATGCTTCGACAAAGAGGAGGCAACATCCTGGCCCGGAATGTTGAAGGGCAGACACCATTACATCTGGCTACAAGAGATGGACATGTTGACATGGTTCGGCAGTTACTGGATGATGGTGCCGATCTTACTGCCCAGGATAAACAAGGTAAAACGGCACTGCATACTGCAGCAGTTCTTGCCCACGAGCAGACAATGATGATGCTTATGTCTAGAGGGGCAAATCTTGTTATAAAAGATGAAGAGGGGCGGAGGCCATACGATATAGCGGTTACATGCGGCTGGAAAGGCATAGCAGATGCTCTCCTCAATCCAAAGATGGAATCATTACTTAGCCCTAGACGCCGTAAGTGGCGCCGGCGAGCGGGGGATTGGATGAAATCTCTTGAATTATCAATTCATCGGAAAAAGGGAAAATCAGTATCCTAAGCCTATCGAGCCTATTACACCGCCCTTACTCCGTATGCCTCAATCGATATTCATGGTCGGGAGTTCGCGGAAGTAGAACGATGAGTTGTGGACAATATGGAGGAAGAAAACCCTTAAAAAATTTTGCGATAATATTTTTTCCTTTCTATCTTTTTCTTTTTTTATTCTTTTTTCCCCTTCCTCCTGATGGATGTGTATTTTTTTTTATCACCCTGGTGGGCTTTAATTCTTCTGTCTGGTTTAAACAACTTTGACTCACTCTCTTCAATCCGTTTTGTCCGGCGGTTGGTATTTATAATAATACATAGGCAAATCCAACATGGCTAGCTAGGCTTTCTTGTGTTCTCCTTTTTTTTTTTTTTTTTTTTTGCATGCCCACAGAAACCGAGGGCATACTGGAGTTACAAGTATAAGTAGGATCATAGCTGATACTTCCTTCCTCGTGTATACTGAATATAATATAAGCATAGCATTAGGCACAGGAAATATCCGATTTACGTATCCCCGCGTCAGCGCGATTTATAGAAGCGGAAAAATGTCTTGGGATACCTGCACTGGCAAAACTACATGGAAGGCAAATACGGGTTGGGTTCTTTATATATATATATAGGCTCGCCGGATACATCATTATTAGAACAAACCTTAGGAAGCCCCCGAAGCTCAAAAGTGGATTGAATTACGAAAGTGTTTGCGGTATTGCCCTCGGCATGGAGATTCTTAATTGCCACCAAATTCGAATTGAAAAGTCATCTCCCAAGATATGAGAGAACTCAAACTGCTTGAAAGATAACTATCTAAAGCCCCACGCGGGGGTCGAACCCGCAACCTTGAGATTCCGCTTAAGAGTCTCACGCTCTACCGATTGAGCTAGCGAGGCATAGTTTTTAGTCTGCTGGGCCGTAATTTAGCTATGTTCAATTTTCAGGTATAAAATTTACCCCCTGCAACACCTAGCGCAACAATCCGGGTTCCGGGTATAGCCTATACAACAGGAATTTACAACAATTACAAACACAAACTTGGCCAACATGAAGGTTTCAAATCCACAGAAGAAAAGAATATAAAGGAAAGAAACCCCGTTTATAGTACAAGCACACGCGACTCCAATTAACAATACAGAAAAACGACTATCTGGGTAAAAAGAAATCTAGTTGCGCTAAAATTACGGGCTTTCCCGTTCGCCCCTCCACTAGATACTTAGATTGTTGAGTTGAGCGACCATTTGAGCTATGACTGCTCGGGCACGAGCGGTGAGGGGCTGATCATGGTTGATAGGAGTGTATTCGCATCGGAAGTTGATGTAGAATCCACGACTGGTTTTTCACTAGATATCGGTGACTGAATCCTTTGGACATTGCTAGAAACCTCTGAAATTTTCGTTAACTCATCATTCGGACTCGGATGAATGGTGATGCTCTCGAGGTCCTGTGTTTGCCCTCGTTTGCTTCTGTCCTGATTCCCAGTAGACTCAACTTCTTTCACTTCCAGCGTTGGTACAGTGCTCTTTGCGACTAGCTTGGTACCTTTTAGCTTGGACTTTTGAGTGTTCCGTATGTACTCTCCAATGAATTTCTGGAAATTAACCACTGGCTCTTTGTCTATCCTCCCAGTGATCAACTCTTCAAAAAAGCCTGCAAGTTGAGATTCCACCAACGACTTTTCGTAAAAGCTCTGAATTGCGCGACCGATATCAGCATGCCCGTTCTTAAGGCTTCGTTCAAGGCACCCTTTGACAACCTTGGAAACGAACTCCTTGTCACTGTTGATAACTTCACTAAACATAGACCTGTTTTGGGGAAGTGTTCTTATAACCCCCTCCCCCAGCTTGGCCCCCCTCCCTCCTTCGTTTCTCCCCTCCTCGGCAACGTTTCCATTCCTCCCTTCCCATTCCTCTCCATTTCTATTTCCCCCTTGGACCAACTCAGTTTCCCCTTCTCTGCGTACTCTTTTGTGCCTCTTGGGAGCTCTAAATTCAGACATCGCATCACTCGGATGTCCGAGAGTCCGTCCCATATTATCCTGCGAATTTGACGAAGTGTTTTCGGTATCGATCTGATCCTGTTTTAAGAGCATAAGCCTTTCTCTCTTTTTGCCATCGGCTCCTGTATTCGTGACAACTTTCGAAGAGCCTACTATTGTGTCGGATCCAGATTTTGGCTCGGCTATAGGTTGGCGCTCTGGAAGATCTATATTAGATTTCATTGCCGCCTTATCTACCGATTTTCCCCTCAAATTCCTCTTCCGATAGCCATCGATCATACCTGGTTCCATCAAACTTGTAGTCTCCCCCGTATTCTGAACCTTGGATGGTTCTGAACTAAGCAGCGCTGCGCCTCCAGGCGTCCCCTCTGACCCCAAACTATTCCCTCCAACCGTAGGGTATGAGCCATTTTGCTGTTGATGCGGCGCCGGGCCAACCGGAGTCTGTGGAGCCATGCTTGGGGCCTTCATTTCCGTCTGAAGATTCCTCATGAGCTTCTGGAATTGAGCATACTGCTCCGGAGTTGCCTTTCGAGCAAGCACCTTGTCCATCAACTCTGAAATTGTGGTATCTTTTTTCGATAGTTCGTACATCTCTCGGATGGCCCGAACCTGATCCGGGTGATTGTGTCTTGTAGCAACCTCAATCGCCACGTTGACTATATGCTGCAAGCGTTCCCTTCCATCAGCTGTCTTACTATTCGGAGGAGTTGGGAGTCCGCTCGGTGGAGGTGGCGGAAGTCTTGGCAGAGGGAGTTTGGTCTTTTCCATCGTGTTACCGTCTGACACCGCCGACATGCTAAGATTGTGATGAGAAAAGTTGTTGTGGGGAGATGGATGGGGGGGGGGGGCGAGGAAGAAGTTATGTAGTGGTTGGGCCCAAGATAAATGCGGACTAGGTGGCAGGGCTAAATAGCGACCCTAGCCCTCAGAGCCTCGGATCATTCACGCATTTGCACAGAAGTCTGGGCACTGGAACTGAGATTCAGGGGTCAATTAGCAATTGTTCAAAATTGAATGTGACAATGACATGTGCGGGTCACCT